TCACTCACCCCTATCCTTAATATATCTCACATATCTAATATATTATATATCACCATCACTACTTCTTATATACTATGTGTGTATATATAAGAGAGAGGTTTTCACATGTTGGGCCAGGGCTGGTCCTTCGAACTCCGACCTCAAGTGATCGGCCTGACTCAGTCTCAAAGTGCCCTCGGGATTACAGGCTTGGCCAATTAATGGCAAATCTTCTGAACACACAACACACACAAAAGGTGGAGGCCAACTAACATATTGAATCTCATCGTGGGATCCAACACTAGGGTTCAATGACTCCTTTTTTTTTTTTTTTTTAAGCGGGAATTCACATTGATAGATATAAAACCCTGTAATGTTTTCAGTGTTTATTTTTTATATATATAGAATGGTTCCATAATAAAGTCTTAACTTTTTTTAAAAAGATGGAACAATTGGCAATAGACACCTGTCATTCCTCTTTTTCCCTTCTTATTTTGGAAGCTCTGCTAGATGCTGCTGTCCGCAAGTACTGACCTTGCCTTTTCTGATTTTCATTAAAAAGAAACTCATGGCAACTAGGTACCAATTAATTCCTCTCACTGGAGAGCTCTTGTCCCTGTTTCTCCTCCCCCAGACAATAGGAGATATGTAAAATGCCTTTTCAGGCTCCCTTTCCCCTCCTCAATACCTACATTTGGCCATCATTCAGCGCTTTCCCTTTAAGTCAGCAATACATGTTATTGCATCTCTCTTCTATTTAAAAGAATATACTTAGCCCTTACATTACAAATTCTGTCCTATCATTATTTATTTGAAGGTAATTGTACATGATTTGGTCGACTCATGGCTCACCACGGGTTCCTCTTTTCTTCATCTCCTTGTCTTCAATCTGATTCATCTGTTTCCTGATTAGATTCCTTTCTATGGGAAAATTATGTGGACCTTTGCATTTTTTCCATCCTGGGAAGGTGAATGGCAACCTGGTTGGTTTAGGATGCTTTTCTCTCAGTGGTCTATGGAGGTGATTCATATTGGTTTCTAGCTTGCAAATAAGATGTATGATTTCAGTCTGATTCTTTTCTTTCTATGCAACTTATTTTCTCATTAGGGAAGCTTGTCTGAGTTTTCTCTTTAATCGTGGAATTCGGGAAACTTACCAGGCTATGCCTTGATGTGTGTCTTTTTTCCATCATTCCTGCCTGGAACTCAATGAGCCTTTTAATCTGCAAACCCAAGGCGTTCTTCAAACCACGGAAAATTTTCTTTCTCATTTAAAAATGATTGCTTCTCCTCTATTTCTTCTTTTTTCTTTCTGAGATTTTTATTCTTATTTTCATTATTCACCTATTACCACTCCTGGATCTCTCTCCTCTGAGGCGTTTTTAGACTTTTACTTTGGGTTTTGTGTTATCTCTTCCATGTGGTTTCCCAGGTCTCCATCCTCCCCTCCAAGTCATTTTAAATTGAAAACGACGTTTCCTCGTTCAGGAAAGTACTTGATTTCGCCTTTGCCTATTTTATTTTATTTTTGAGATGGAGTTTCGTTCTTTCACCCAGGTCGGAGTGCAGTGGCGTGATCTCGGCTCACTGCAACCTCTGCCTTCCAGTTTCAAGCAATTCTCCTGCCTCAGCCTCCTGAGTAGCTGGGATTACAGGCACCTGCCACCATGCCTGGCTAATTTTTGTATTTTTAGTATTAATTGGGTTTCACTACTTTGGCCAAGTTGGTCTCGAACTCCTTGTGATCCGCCCGCCTCAGCCTCCCAGTGCTTTTGGTTTTTTAAAATGTGAGCTTATGGTTTTGTTTGCTTTTCCTGTTGTGCAGGTTGTGGTTGGCCTCCTCTTGCCATGCTGAGTGAATTGCAGGCTCTTCCTTCCTGGCTGCTGGATTCCCTCAGGTGCCGACTGTCTTTCTGCCTTCTTGCAGCCCTAATCATCTCCAAGGCTCAGATCCAGCTGACAAATTGGCTGCACGTCTGTGTGTCCCAGGAGAGAGCTCTCTGCTCATTCTGCTGTTCTGCAACCCAGTCTCCCAGCCTTGGGGCAGGGAGGGAGTCTGCAGGGCCTCCCAGGACCACCCAAAGCTGCTGGCTCTGCCTCTCTTGTGTATCCCTGTGCCAAGTTCGCTCTTGGAGCCTTGGAGGTCTCGTTCTTACCCAGGGCTCTCTCTGCTGCGGGTCCCTACTGTCTGTCCCAGAGGGAGACTAAGTCCTAAGCCAGCCCTATCAGGACAAAGGCCCTGTCCAACCCACCAGGCCTGGCTGCTGGCTGACCCAGGAGCTCTGCTGCGGGAGCCCATTGGAGATTGGAAAGGAGGGCAGCAGGGTGGTCAGCCTGCCTACACCCTGGAGGTTTAATTAAAGAGAAGTTCTTGGGTTTCATGATATTGAAGAGATGACTGGGATCAATTACCTTGCAAAAGTATACTTATACTTGCAAAAGTATATCAGAAAAAAATAAAAATAAAAAGCAAAATGGAATGGATTTGAATAAAATCAGTTTTTTTTGTTATTTTTTGTTTTTTTTTTTTAACTAGGTCTATGAAGATGCATCTAGCATGCATAGAAAATTGAGTGACATTGAAGGAGTTCTGAGGAATTCTGCACATCTTTTGGTTCTGGTAATTATAGCATTTTGTGAGGAAAAGAATGAACCTTAAATGCTCTCAGTTCTCTCCTTGGCACAATACCATGTACCCACCAGAAGGGTTTTCCAAACCTCTGAACGTGGGTGAAGATGAAGTGTGCAGGGAGCAGGGTGATTTCTTTCTTCTTTTCTTTTTTTTTGAGACAGAGTCTCACTCTGTCGCCCAGGCTGGAGTGCAGTGGCACGATCTTGGCTCACTGCAAGCTCCGCCTCCCGGGTTCATGCCATTCTCCTGCCTCAGCCTCCCAAGTAGCTGGGACTACAGGCGCGCACCACCGTGACCGGCTAACATTTTGTATTTTTAGTAGAGACGGAGTTTCACCATCTTAGCCAGGTTGGTCTCGATCTCCTGACCTCGTGATCCACCCACCTCGGCCTCCCAAAGTGCTGGGATTACAGGCGTGAGCCACCATGCCTGGCCAATTTCTTGAAAACACTTTGGACTGGGCCTCACGGTCCATCTTCACCTGTGGCTGAAGAACTTTCATATACCATTAGACCACAGGAAGTTGTAACAAATGACTCTTCAGCTCTTGCAGGTGATCGAAGTATCCAATTGCTATCATTGATTCCAACTTTGATTTTATCTTTTGTTTTACTTTTTTTTTAACCACATGATAAGTGTCCCAGGAATTTTTTCTAAAGAGCTTCAAAGTGAAACTGTAGACATTTTCTTTGCCTTTAAAAGCCAAAATAGATCATCATCTGAGAGAAATTATGAGCCTTTCAAGGCCACTTGGGACAGAGTGGATAAATTATGCCAAAAACCAATTCCTCCAATTCCTAAGGACTTCAAAGTTGAAAAATATTTCCTTCAGAAGAAAAGAACTTCTGAGATAAAACAAATGATAGCAATTCCAATTATGCATTTTTCCTACTTTCTCATAAGAAAAGTATTAAATTAATGTCTCTTATGAAGGATGGGTTCCTAGATTACATTTAAATTTACGGCTTCGTAGAAATGATCACATTGAAGTGAAGCCAATTTCTGAGCAGTCCCATTCAGTTGAAATTAAATAATACATAGAAATAGCCAAGCACGTGCAAAATTTGTGCAGCCTGGAAGCACTCTAAATCCCACAATTCAGAGTGTGTTTTATGAAACTCCAAAAAGATCACTCCTGCTACGATTGTATCAACTTAATTGATCTTGGCAGCCTGGTGATTTGACACTGTCTTCACCACACTGCTCTTTAGTCTCAGCGATTACAATAGCAGTGCAGAAAGCTCATTTTCTACTCTTAGTGGCTTAGAAACCCACTTTTACTGCTCTGTCCAGTTAGAGGTTCTGGCCCCAACAGCTGCAGAGTGAGACAAACCATATCGAATGTTTCCTGAGTCTCTCCTTTGCCACCCTGATATGGTTTGGCTGTGTCTCCACCCAAATCTCATCCTGAATCGTAGCTCCGGGAGGGACAGGGTTGGGAGGGACTGGGTAGGAGACAATTGAAACATGGGAGCGGGTTCCTTCATACTGTTCTTGTGGTAGTGAATAAGTCTCACGAGATCTGATGGTTTTTTGTTTGTTTGTTTTTGTTTTTTGTTTTTTTTTGAGATGGAGTCCACTCTATGGCCCAGGCTGGAGTGCATTGGCGCCATCTCTGCTCACTACAACCTCTGCCTCCCAGGTTCAAGTGATTCTCCTGCCTCAGCTTCCTGAGTAGCTGGGACCACAGGTATGCACCACCACACGTGGCTAATTTCTGTGTTTTTAGGAGAGACGGGGGTGTCACCATGTTGGCCAGGTTGGTCTTGAACTCCTGACCTCGTGATCTGCCTGCCTCGGCCTCCCAAAGTGCTGAGATTACAGGCATGAGCCACCACATCCAGCCGAGATCTGATGGTTTTATAAGAGGAAACCCCTTTCTCTTGGTTCTCATTCTCTCTCTTGCTTGCCACCATATAAGACATGCCTTTTGCCTTCTGTCATGATTATGAGGCCTCCCCAGCCACATGGAACTGTGAGTCCATTAAACCTCTTTTTCTTGTTAATTACCTAGTCTCAGGTATGCCTTTATCAGCAGCGTGAAAAGGGACTAATACACACCCTGAACTCATTCGTTCATTCAGTCTTCAAGCAACCCTGCAGGAAGAAATCACTAGTCCCATTTGCTGTAGGAGGAAAGTGGGGGTCAGAGATGTTAAGTGACCCGCCCAAGGTTACACAGCAAGTAAAAGTCAAACCTAGCCTGATTCCCAAGCCAGTGTAATCACTGCGTTCGGTTTGCAGCCAAACGGGTGAAGATCTGAGGCTCCTGTGACATAATGGATCATCTATATTTGCTGAGATAAAAATGATGTAATATTAATTTAATCTCATCTGTAAGAACTTTTCATTCCTGGGGTTATGATGTCTTTTATCAGGACATCCACGTATGGTTCTGAAGATCCTGCTGAATAGAGTGGGCCATGGAATGTCTGGTTTGCTGCTGGGGTGGCATAAAGGGCATACACTGAAGTGAAATGCTGCCAAAGCATTCCTGTGTTCTTAAAAAATGAAAAATTTGTCTGGCTAAGCAAACTGTGGAGTATTAATATAATGGAATACTACTAAGCAATGAAAAGGAACAAGGTACTGATTCATGTAGCAACATGGAGGAATCCCAACAATCTTACACTGGGCCAAATAAAAAGCCTGACACAAAAGAGCACAGAGCAAATGACTTTATATGAAATTCTAGAGAAGACAAACTTAGTGTATTATTGTGCTAGGGCTACCAATGACAAAGTACCACGGATGGGGTGGCTTAAACAGCAGAAATTTGTTTCCTCACAGTTCTGGAGGCCAGAAGCCTCGATCAAGGTGTTGGCAGGGGTGGTTTCTTCTTAGGCCCCTCTCCTTGGCTTGTAAATGGCGGTTTTCTCCCAGTGTTTTCATGTGGTTGTCCCTCTGTGTGTATCTGTGTCCTAATTTCCTCTTCTTATAAGGACACCAGGCATACTGGATTACGTTCCACCCTGAGGACCTCATTTTAATGTAATCATCTCTTTGAAGACCCAACCTCCAAATACAGTCACATTTTGCAGTACTAGGGATTAGGACTTTAACATGTGGATTTTGGGAGAACACAATTAGCCCACAACACCTAGACTATGGTGAAAATAACCAGAATAGTGGTTGCCTCTGGGAGGAGTGTGGGTTAGGGATATACTAGGAAGGGGTTTGGGGGACTTTCTGGGGTTGATGGAAAACTGGATTTGGTGATAGGGTTTGGGTTATACAAATACCTACATTCGTTGGCCAGGCACGATGGCTCACGCCTGTAATCCCAGCACTTTGGGAGGCCGAGGTGGGTGGATCATGAGGTCCAGAGATCGAGACCATCCTGGCCAACATGGTGAAACCCCGTCTCTACTAAGAATACAAAAATTAGCTGGGCATGGTGGCACACGCCAGTAGTCGCAGCTACTCGGGAGGCTGAGGCAGGAGAATTACTCGAACCCAGGAGGCAGAGGTTGCAGTGAGCTGAGATTGCGCCACTGCACTCCAGCCTGACGACAGAGCAAGACTCTGTCTCAAAAAAAAAAAAAAAAAAAGAAGTATCTACATATCTACATTTGTCAAACTCACTGGAATAGAACATGTAGTCCATATTGTACATGGAATAGTACAATTTGTGCATTTAATTATCTGTTAATTTTGCCTCAAAGAAAACCAGAAACAAATATTGAACTCTAGTTAATAATATGCATGCATACTGTTAAGGGATAAAGTGTACTGCTGTCTGCAAATAGCTTTTGAACTGATGGCTGGGTCTATAGATGAATAGATATTTGAAAACGCAAATATAGCAACCTACCAACAATTGCAGACTTTAGATGGTGGATTCACTGTACAATTATTATTATTATTATTATTATTATTATTGAGATGGAGTCTTGCTTTGTCGCCCAGGCTAGAGTGCAGTGGTGTGATCTAGGTTCACTGCAGCTTCTGCCTCCCAGGTTCAAGTGATTCTCCTGTCTCAGGCTCCTGAGTAGCTGGGATTACAGGTGCCCACCACCACGCCCGGCTAATTTTTGTATTTTTTTAGTAGAGACGTGGTTTTGCCATGCTGGCCAGGCTGGTCTCAAACTCCTGGCCTCAAGTGATCCACCTGCCTCGGCCTCCCGAAGTGTTGGGATTACAGGCGTGAGCCACTGAGCCCAGCGCTTTTCTTTTCTTTCTCTTTTTTTTTTTTTTTTTTGAGACAGGGTCTTGCTGTGTTGCCCAGACTGGAGGGTAGTGTTGTGATCTCAGCTTACTGCAACCTCCGTCTTGTGGGCTCAAGCGATCCTCCCACTTCAGCCTCAAGAGTAGCTGGGACTATAGGCGTGTGACACCACACCCAGCTAATTTTTGTATTGTTTTATAGGAACTGGGTCTCACCATGTTATGGAGGCTGGTCTCAAACTCCTGGACTCAAGTGATCAGCCTGCCTCAGCCTCCCAAAGTGCTGTGATTACAGGCATAAGCCACTGTGCCTGGCCTCATTGTATAATTCTTTCAACTTTTCTGTAGGTTTGAAATTTTTCGTCATAAAATGTTTGGCGGGGGGATAAAATTTGCATTTGAAAATATTAGCTAGACGTTTCTCATAAAATCTTTCTTCATTGTTAGATCAAGGTTGCCACAAGCCTATGCCCAAGTCATTTGTCCTTGTGTCCCCCACCAATGTGCCCAGGAAGAAAGAGTAGGGAGACAATTCAGAAAGAGGCCTGAGGGTGCTAGGGAGTTCCAGGGACTAGCTAAGGCGTTTGGGCTCTGTGTTTGAGGAAACTGAGGCTCAGGCTGTTTAGCGTTGCTGTTTAGAATCCAGGGAAGTCCATGATGTTTTTTCTTAAGCTGTGTTGGAGTGCTTAGCTTCAGTGGAGAAGTTGGGCATGGCCATATGAATGATATGCAGTTGGCGGCACACAGTAGGCACACAAGTGTTTGCTGAATGAATATTTACATGAAATTGGAAAGGAGCCTTCCAAAGATGGAGCCAGCAGGAGACAGTGAAGTTGCCTGTGGGGGCAGGGAGGAGTCTGTCTCTG